GTAAAACTTAATATCAAATTATAAATTTGGAATAGATGTTTCTATTTTGAGGCTGTTATTTACTGTGATAATTGTAATTCCAAATGCTAGTATTATCATAAAATGTTTAGCTCCTGTTTTAGTTAAAATATATTACAATATCAAGTTATTTAGCCTTTTATTATAGGTAATAAAGACATCTGTTAATAACAAACTATATTTATCATTTGCAAATTAAGTGTAAATCATTGTGAACTTTTTCTTATTTCATACTCGACAATGTAATTTTGAACTATTTTATTAAATAAACAACTGCAATTAATGAAAATTGTATGAATAAATTTATATAAATATGTTTTGTGTCTGTTAATGTAAAACTTAACAAATAATAGGTACTTAAATACCTATAACTTATAGAATAGATTTATATATGTTATAGCTTAGTTTATGGTCATAAATACACTATAGTTAATTGTAGAATTCTACGATACGATCTAAAGTCACATAATTTATATAGGTGCTTACGAGTACATTCTTCGAGACCTGTAACTATTTAAGTGGAAGCTATTAAAAGCATGTAATTGATAAATTGATATCTAGATACGTTATACTAGCAACTCGCCACAGCTTTGCATGGTGTGTTTTTTTTTTAATAAAATACAGTCCATGTTATTAGCTAAGAAGTTTCCTGTAGGTTAAGGAATTTTTAAAATCGGTTAATTATTTTAAAGTTTATCCAAAACAAACAAAAAAAAATCAATCTTATTATTAGTTTAGTTCGCCGTGTGGTCCCTGCATAGAATGGGTCACTCCTTCCTTTCTCATGGATGTCATAAGAGGCGACTAAGGAAACCTAATGGTTGTGGTATGAGCAGTACATTTACTGAATCAGTCGTGAATGCAATTGACGCTGGTAAGCAATACGACGTTATTTACACCGATTTCTGCAAGGCTTTTGATAGAGTTCCACATAGAATATTACTATATAAGCTTTCTGCGTATGGTGTAACGGGTGCTTTGCTCTCCTGGCTAAGGTCTTATTTATCCAATCGTTCGTTTTATGTAGTTTTGAATGGATACCGTTCTTCTTTCCACTCGGTGGTCTCAGGTATTCCCCAAGGATCTCATTTGGGGCCGATCCTTTTTAATATATTTATTAACGACATCATAAACTGTTTCCAGTTTTCTGAGTTATACATATTCGCAGACGACTTGAAGTTTGCTAGGTTGATTACAACTATTGAGGACGCATTAAAGCTTCAAGACGACTTAAGTAGACTACATAAATGGTGTCTCCAAAATGGCATGAATTTAAACACTAAAATGTTTTAATATGAAATTCTCTAGAAAATTGCACATTATTGATTACAGCTACCATATTCAAAATGAAATAATTGAATCTAGGAACACCATAAAAGACTTAGGAGTGACCTTTGATACAAAATTAACTTTCGTGCCTCATATAGATAATGTAGTTAAAAAAGCTAGCATGATGTTAGGATTTATTATAAGAAACACTAAAGATTTTCGTAATAGTCGAACCAAAATTATTTTATATAATAGTCTTGTCCGCAGTATACTGGAGTACTGTAGTGTAGTCTGGCGTCCACATTATTGTACACATGTTTTACGTATTGAACGTATTCAAAAGAGATTTTTGTGGCACCTCTCGTATCTAAATAATAAAGGAATAAAAAACTCCTCTTACATTGACAAGCTGAAGCATTTTCATATCATCTCATTAGAAAAACGCAGAGATTTTATTGACATTTCTTTTGGTTTTAAAATACTGACGCATATAATAGATTGTCCACAAATGCTTCAATTGTTTAACTTTCGTGTTCCCTCTAGAATACCTCGGAAACAGATAACACCTTTATGTCCTCCGTTAAGAAGAACAGTGTTAGGAGCCAACTCGCCTGTACCCAGATTGTGTAGGATTCTGAATGCTCACAGCGATCAAATTGACATCAATTTTGGACCCACCAACAGCAGATATAGCTTATTGCGGAAAATCTTAGACATAAGTTCATAATTACTTATTATTCAGATAATTTTATTGTTATTGTTAATGATTTATTAAATATTATAATAGTGCATGTGGTGTTCGCGTATAAAAGATTTTTACATTAGGCAAAATTATTTTTTGTGTTATTAAGTTGCATGTAAAATGTAAAAGTTGTATGTGAACCTTATTAAATAAATAAATAAATAAGCAGCAGCGACCCTTTTAAAACGTCGCCGAAGCCTAACTACGGTTGCCAATCCGCCTGCCATGTGTGGCAACTATTGGTAAAACCCTTCAAGGGGGAGGCTTATGTTCAGGAGTGATATATGTATAATGATGATGATATTTGTTTAGATTTGACAAACCTGACTTGTAGGTATTAATAATAACTGGTGATGTTTTTAATAAGCATTCATTATAAACGTACATAACATAAAAAAAATTGGTGTTTTGTTTCATTTTTTATTAAATGAACTGACGATTACTAATAAAGCGTCGTAAATATTCCTGTCTGCAGATAGATTTTAATTTGTGCTCTACAAAGAATAATAGCAGTTTTATTCATCACAAAACTAATGTGGGAGTACACTTTATCGATTATATAAAAAAATGTGCAAATTGGTTAGAAAATGGTACGATAGCCACAAGAAATATTGAGAATCTCTTACGAACTTCATTAATATACTTGCTGTGCATTGGGTTGTAGTTGTCAGTTGGTTTGTTGGCAATTGGCACAGTCATCTTCGAGACGCCATGCTGTCATAAATACCTATGTAAATATGTTTTTTCTTTAATATTTGACGTTGATAGATGTATATATTATACATAGTTTTAAAAGTAACACGTTAATATTCAATAATATCTGCAAAAAACTAAACCATTCTAATACATACATAGAGGGTGGCTCCGATGTTTATTTGGTTTTTTGTCTGCTGTTGACTGTAGCCCTCGACTGGCTCCGACTAATGGACCGGTTTTGTCGGTTGAATCTAAACACTTTTTATTTTCCGGTGTATTTGACGTGCACATTCTATGCATATTTTTTTCATACATAAAAATTACATAAAAAGAAATAAATTCATCCGGCCACCATACTGTTTATTCGATTGTAAGAAGTGGTGATTTAAAATGTTTAATGCGTTCTCTTTGATGATTTGTTTGTTTTTTACGAGATTCAGTAAATTGAGTTGACTTAATTTACCAGCGAGTTCCTTCTACCAATTCCATTTATATACATATACATCAAAATATGAATGTATATTGCAAATTGTCATAGAAAAAATTTATTACGCGTTGTTGATGTTTCGTAAATCTTTCAGTCACCCTAGACAAGTGGTAACATCGATAGAATGGTTATCGCGAGTCCATAAGTTGGAACGAAACATTGGGACGTTGCTATCTCATTCTATCTAATGGGCTCGCTAGCTATGATTATTCCATCGATGAATTCGCTTGCCATTTATCAAAAGGGCCAGCTCGGTTGTTCTATACATATTATCAATAGATAAATATGGAATTTTAACTCCGCCTACGTTATTACTTTACAAATGAAGGGGTACATATCAATGACGGATGATAGATGAGGAAGAAGTTAGGTCGTTTGATTCTTAGTAATGAATTTACCTGCAAGTAATCATGTAATTTTCAGAGGCCATCGCGTATATATCAAACTTTCAGGGTATATATATTTTAATGTATAATATTGGAATGGTAACACCGCCTGCGCTAACGGAATACGCTGGCGTGACACCAGTGAAGTATGATAGGTGAAGATGGAAAGACAGGTCAGTTAGCCTATCGTAATAAATACACCAGGAATTCAGCACGATAGTTTTCAGGAGGGACCACGTGGAGGTCGACCGGATTGCTTATATTGCTAGCAATGAGACTGGTAATCCACATTACTAACAATTCCTTCACCTCCCTTTCAGGGTATATAATCATATCAGCCGTTAATTGTCCACTGCTGAGCATAGGCCTCCCTCTATTGGAGGATTTTGCCAGTAGTTGCCACGCTTGGCAGGCGGGTTAACAACCGCAATTAAGCTTTGGAAATGTTATAAGAGGGACGCTTCTGCCCATCCCTCTACCATTAAGTTCTCTTAGTCCTTAGAGAAAAGAAGGGATGGCCTATTCTATGCCGGGACCACACGACGAGCTTATCAGAGTATTGCTAGAAATAAAATCGCTATTATTAAAACTCATATTACGTAAAGATTTCATAATTAATATTTCAGAAACCCTGATAATTTTGATCATTATAGTGAAGCTCTTAAGTTTAATAACTATTTGGACAGACAGGTGCTGTCTGCCAAATTGAAAATCCACATCTGTCGCGTTGCTATGAATTGTTTTAATTTTGGCGCGTTTATTAGGTTTTTTTTTTCGTTTTGTGTTCTGTTGTTTATTTCGTCATTTTGTTCATAACGTGGGTGAATTGATACAAAGTCATATGCATATATAATCGTATAGTGTTTCGCCTCAAACAGCTTCCTCGAACAACTTTATATCAAATTGAGGGTTGGAATTGTGCAGCGCAGTTATTCAGTACAAAATCATAACATCGTGGTCCTTAGGAATGGCAACACAAGAGAGATGTTATATAGCTTTGAATAATATCGTCATAGTCATAGAATACTGACGGATCTTACAAATATTAAATATATATATCCGTCAGTATTCTACGACTATGACGATATGTTTGCTGTCCATATCTATAAAGGTTACGATTTTTCCAAGAAGTGATTGTTGGTAATGAGAACTAGCGGCTCCATCACAACAAGATCTTCCATGGGAACCATTATAGTCAATTCCTGGCGAATTTGTCACTAATAAGCTAACTGAGATGGTTTCATTCGCATTTGAACTACTCTGACCGGTGCCCCGTCATCGTATAGCGATAGCGTAGTTAGAATTATCATACCATTTTCAGTCATAAAAAAAACGTTTTGCGAGGTGGACAGTCTGCTACTTTTCCATTCCATGTTGTATAAAAGAATATTTTTGTCGACAGGGCTGAACCTTGAGAGCAGCTTCATGAGCAGCCCAATGTCCCCGCCGGAGATGAAACCGGACACGGCGATGTTGGACGGGCTGCGAGAAGATGCAACTTCACCACCTAATTCCTTCAAAAATTATCCACCAAATCATCCCCTAAGCGGTTCTAAGCACCTCTGCTCAATATGCGGTGATAGGGCGTCAGGAAAACACTACGGAGTATTCAGGTATGTTATCGACTATTTAAAATATGACTAGGTGAAATCTATTCTTAATGTCAGTTTTTGGGCTTTAATACATTTCTTTATCTAATTTAATTGAAATCGGTCTGACTTAGCGTTTTCAAGAAGAAAATTCTCAATTCGGTTGTCTTTTTTTATATTTGTTACATAATTTCGTTAGTGCTAAATCGATTTAGAAAATTCTATTGTATCTGAAAGAATATACTTACAGATTAGTTCTATAGAGATGTAATCGAAATCGGTCAAAATAGTTTAGTTTTTAGATTAAAATAACTGGTTTTGTCGCAATTGAAGTCGGCTTTTTGTTGGATCTTTAATTATGTATACAGATTTATATATTTTCCAATATGAATCACTCAAGCGTATAAATCGATTTTTTTTATTAGGCTACAAAAACAGTATGAGTATATGTATAACGAAAGATTTTTTTTTATAAATAATATTTATAAAAAAATCTTTTGTTGTTTTATGACTAAGATTCTTTATATTGGGTATAATTTATATTATAAAAATAAGTTATGTGATTATAAATTACTCATGGTATGGAATGCTAATAGCAAAAGTACGACTTGTACCAAAACATTTTTTGTTATTGCAACATTACAAACAAAAATGCGTAATTTTGTTCCTTTATCTTCCACAGCAGTTTGATATAATTTATATAATTTGTACTAAAATATACCCATTCATATCTAAATTCATATTATACAATTTTTAGAAATTATCCCAACATCAAAGAGGAACGTTATTTACCTTTTGTTAGGTTGTGATTGTGATTATTTACTCGACGGACACCCACGCCTTTATGGATGATTTGATTTTATTCAAACAAATAAAATACAAATTTTCTTTTTTGTGCCGTTATATTTCTATTATGTTTTGAATACATATAATTTTATGTACGGTGAATTGGCCCAGCTACGGACTATTAACTCATGTTATTTCCTTTTCACATAAATATATGTGTCACGCCTGTCTCTTATTGGGGTAGACAGAAATAATAGAATGCGATGATTCAAACAGACCTCTTTTGCTTCTTACATATTCATTAATATATTAATACAGGCTGGCCGGTTATGAGTATTTTTAACTTGGACTTGGCCCTTTTTCAGCACAATCATCTCCTATTTGGTCGACGTACGTCGCTCTAGGGCGGCCCCCTACTGATGTCAGCGACCAATTTCGCTTTCTTTTTTCAAACTACGTTATTTTGGTTTTCTTTTTAATTTTTGTTATTACATCAAAACTTTCAAAAGGGTCAATTTTATAAATGTGTCCTATCTAATATTAAGATTACTTTTTAGTAGTAATAAAACGAACGCTTTCTATTGTCACTTTAATTCTGTCATTCTCTTTTAAGGTTACAAAGAATTTGTATTGCTATTTTTTTTATGGGTGAAGATGGATCGGTATACGTTGACGGGTCACCAGTGAAGGGTGACAGGTGAGGCCGATGACAGGTCAGTTGGCTCATAGTGACCACTTAAACAAGAAATAACCACCATGGTTTCCAGGGGAAACCGCGTGGAGGCCGCCCTGATAATGTGTATTCCTAGCAATGAGGTTGTTAAATCTCATTACTAACAATATATTTCCCCCCTTTGTATTGCTGTTATTAACACTAATTTATTTCAAAGTTCTACGCATCCTTGATTGGGTTTAGTGTGTTGATTGTTTGACCATCGACTGTGTGAGATGGAAGCAGTTGAGGAAGGCTTTTGACCTTTTAACGTCATAAGCTATAACTGATTGATTGAATGACAGATTGTAAATACGGGAATGTTCGTGTGCAAATCACCCTTGACAATATTATAACTATTTGAAAACTCAACTTATTTACTAAAATTTCTGGTTCAATCTACTTTTATGATATAATGACGTAGTTTCGGATTACAGTTAGAGGGTACATACAGGCACAATTATATAATTTAAGATTTACAGGGACTAAATTACTATTATTAATAATACTATTATTAAAAATAGGGAATATTGGTTTTGAATGAGCGAAGACATTACATAACCTACGCATATAAAATAATACAGGCGAGTTGAGAACATTCTCCTTTCTGATTTTAACGTTGGTAGTAAAATAAAATATTAAAGATTCAGTTTCATTTGCAAAAATCATCCTTAAAAGAATGCTAACTATTTCATATTTACCATAATTTCAATTTCTTCAGATGAATTTCGGTCATTCTAGTTTGAAAATATTTTTTTATACCTAAATTACCCCTGATCGATATATCAGCGTATCATCTTTATAGAAGTGAATTAATATAGTATATATAATTTCGCTTGATGATAGATCCACCTTATGTTATTATTAGTGAAAGTGAAACTTCAACTATTTCATGAAAATATAATCTTTCTATTCTTTTATCTATTATTACGATAAAGTAATAAGAAATAGAGGGGGGAAGGGATTAGTAGTAATGGAGACTGAGAATCCTTTGCTAGCAATATACCCAACCAGGTCGACCTCCTCGTGGTTTACCTGGAAATTATCATGGTTAATTCCTGATGAATTCATCATGATGGGCTAACTGGCCTGTTTTCATTCTCATCTATCACCCTTCACTGGTGCTCCGCCAGCGTATCCCGTGAGCGCAGGCGGGGTTACCATACCATTTTCACCCATCAAAAAAAAAATAGGAAATAGGATTATAATTATATAAAACCGTATTCTTTTTTTATTCTTCAACACAAAGGTTACACACCCTTGATTGATCAGTGCATCGTAAATCAAGTATTTATATCGTTCCGCGGGTATTTCCAGAAAAGAATTCTTGTAGACTAACCTCAAGGTTCTAGCGACACCAAGTAGTTACTATGCAGTATCGCTAGAACCTTGAGGTAAGTCTACAAGAATTCTTTTCAGGAAATACCCGCGGAACGATAGAAAACGAGTTCTGTGCAGATGTTGCGTAGTTTCCTTTTAGTTCAGTTACATACAGGTTGTAACAGAAATGATTAAGGCCCAAAAAAACTATAAAAAAGAACTACAACCCTTCCTCTATTTTTTTTTCAATATATATATATATAGACTGCAGAACTGACGAAAATATCATACAATATGCACGAAAAACAACCACGCTCATTTAAAACCTCCTTTTGACGTCATTTGGACAATAAACATAAACCACGTGTTCATGTATATTATTTTTATTTTAGTTTTTAGTTCCTCGTTAGTCAGAATTTAATAATTAACAGATATTTTTGTTCATTCTTGCGGTTCGGGAAAATTAAGAGAAATGTAATTAAAAAAAATGCTCTGTAAAACTTGTTTCCGAATTTTCATGTAATATTTAATATAATATAATTTTTATATATATTTTTTTAAACTGAGGGAAAAATATATGTATAAAAAATAAAAAGATAAAAATATAGGTAATAACGATTTATCTATCGGACACGAGATTAGTAACTATTCTTGGATTTTGGATCGTATTATGCTCAATTAATTACGTTCTGTATAAAACTAACGTAAATTATATTTAACTTAACAAAATATAATTGCTCGCAAGGGGCATAGTCCTCAAGAATAGCGGCGAAAGCCTTAGGCAAAATCTGTATTGACAGTGACTACAGGCGCCGGTAATTCCTTTCACTGGTGAGCCGTCAACTTGTTGGTTACTTCTACTACTATAAAAATAAAATAGTACGGCAGTCTTGATTGTAGCAATCTAAAGAAAATATCCCTTGATTGAATGTAATAGAGTAAATTTTTACGCGTACTCGTGATGTATTAAATTTTTTGCTTTGCTATTACTGTCGGCTGGATGATCATAAGGAAAATAAATATTTCGAGTTTCATATCAAATTATATCTGACTTAGAAAGTCCCATAAATTAAATTCAATATTTGATATTGTATTTATTCATCTGTGATATTGTCAATATGAATGAATTATAAGTCATTTCTTTTGCTGGATATGCGGAGTTTGTTCAAAGGATTTTTTATGTCGTGTCTCTTCGAATGATTAAAAAATTTAATCAGTACCCATTTAGTAGATTTTGTGTAATGTAAAAACATGGTTTTGTTACAGTTTTATTATATCTAAATATAGGATATATATATATATATATATATATATATATATATATATATATATATATATATATATATATATATATATACACATTTGAACTAGTAGGTACATATATAATAATATAATAAGATGTCATCTTGAGACTAGACCTTTAAGTAGCAGAGCACAATACTTGTGCTCTGCTACTATGATAGAAGTTAGACACGTATAGACAGAAATAAAAGAGCAAAAATAGTGAACAACAAAACTAAAGAAAACCTTTCAGGTTCGAGTTGAACTCACACACTGAGGGTTCCTTATATGAGATAAAATTACCTTTATTAAATTTCTTCTACGAAATAGACACCTAATAGTTATTATTTTTATTGCAGCATTTGTTTTTTTTTATAATAGGTCATAATTGTGGTTAAAAACTGAACTGTTGAACAAAATTTGTTTACAGTTGTAGTATATAGTTTGAAACATTATTTTTACTGTGTTATTCACATGCACCTTTATATACTAAATAATACTTTTTATGATTTTTTTGAATTAGTATATAAATAATACTTTATATACTAATTCAAAAAAATCGATAGCCGTAGTAGTTCTTGAGGCATAGCGTTGTAACAGGCGAACAAAGTCACTCTATAAGGGTTTCTTTGACCGATTTGTTAAAGAACTGTGAAATGTACAATTTACCTAAACTAGGACTATCAAACTATTTAAATGAAACGCAGACGAAGTAACGAAAACAGTTAGTTTGAAATATAAAATATGAAAAAAGTTTGTAGGTACATTTACAGATCGCGTGTTAAAATATTATGGCATGCGCAAAATTAAAGATTTTACACCTTATTTCTTACAAAAAATTATTATTGTTGTACTGGTTGTGCGTGGGACGTGCGTTTAAACTATGCCAAGTAGGTAGGTACTTACTGATAGAATATGCCTACCT